CTAACACCAGCCGGGTTAGCACCTAATCCAATCACTGAGATGCGAGCATGCGTGCGTGAAATTTCTATCCTTTGGATGAACGACTCGGCTACCATAGTTATTGTCGATCCAATATCGAGCAATAACCGACATGTGGTCCTGTTGCCCCATGTGTCGATTACATTGGCCAGAATAGTTGGTAGTATGGTTTGATTGTAAGCCCTCTCCAGAGTGTGATGACTAACAGCGGCAGTATCAGCAACTTGATCAATCGTATTGAATTCAGCAGTAGACAGATGAGCGAGAGCCAAAGGAACCGATCTTGACTCAACCGGGTGAACTAAAGTGTGGTGCTTAGCATAGCACTGACGACAAGTGTTCGATGAGTTACAATCCCTGACTTGATGAGATCGACTCAGGCAATTGAAGCATAGCTTAGTGTCCCTGGCGAAGGTGCGGTGGTCTAGTACATCTAGAGCTTTGAATTCAGCACATTCATATATATTGTGCTGCCCTTGACAATAAATACATTCGCGGGACTGCTGATTTAATCCACTTGCATGATAGGTGACTTGGCGGCGTTTACTCTGGGCTGGTCTTGACGGTTGTATTACGTGTAACTCCTGACAAGACTCCAAAGTATCACCTTGAGCAAAAAGGAAACTAAATAAATCATTTATGGTGACATCTTCTTTGACCGACATATTACAGTTGGCCCAAGCCTGTTTGATTTCAGAACTTAATTTTGAGAGCAAAATATGAATTAGCCATACATCGCGGCTGTCGCAGTTCAGCGCGTGTAGGCCACGAATGCATTCGTCGGCAGAGTCAATTACATTACGTAACTCAGCGATATTCGAATTGTTAGCGGTAGGCAACGACAGAAACTTCTGAACAAAAGTTCGAGCGATGAGCGTTTTCTTGTTATAACGATTTTCCAATTTCTCCCATGCGTCTTGGTAATTATCATTACAAACGGCAATATGTTTAATTAGGGACAGAGCTTCACCATCCAAATATGATTTCAGATAATGAAACTTTTGGCACTTGGAAAGCTTGTTGTTATTGTCTACTGAGCTTAGAAACAGATCACTAAACTGGCTCCAATCCTCGTATTTTCCAGAAAATGTGGGAATCCGAATTTTCTCAAACCTTAAATCAGTTGCTCCCGATGAGGAATGAATTTGTTCCAATAGTTGGTTTTGTCCCTCGAATAGACGTTCCACTGTACTTGAGAGCAAAATGTTAGACTGGTCTTGGCCATAATCTTGCCCTCCCATCTCCTTTATGGCTTTACTAAAAATAGCGCGCGCGCTGTAGAACTTGTCTTCGTATTCCGGTATATCCAAGCCAGGGTCTTCATATCCCTCCTCCATGTTGAATGCTACTAAGTCCTCGGAGAGCTCCATAAAGTGGTCGAAAGTTGCTACTAAACGATTCAGCTTCACCTGCAATGTTTCAACATTATCACATCTCTGTGAAAACTCTGTAGTGCTGTTAAGGGTGCGAGTTATTTGCCCCTTGCAGGCACCGCATTGGTGAATCGTCCGATGCATTGACTACGAAAAAGTCTTTATCTGTGGTTTATTATTCACGAAAATAAACACAAAAGCAATCGCGGTTACCCGGCTACTCAAACGGACCAAAATTTTTATGTTTATAAATGCAGTGGACTGTATTGTTTTTGTCTTAGATGTTTTATGTTTATTAATTCATGTAGCGTTAGAATAAGTTTTATAAGCGGGTGCGATAAACGAGCGGTTGCGGGTAAATTCCAACTAGATCTAACTGGCGAAAATATAGAAACGTGCAGAAGAAAAATAAAGATCGCGTGATGTCCCAATACTCATGCACATATACTGCATTTTGGCTATGAGTGTGAGCTTAAAGCTTTATGTTGTAAACAAGACAATTATGTTCATTAAACTAGGTACGATAATATGCAAAATAAGAACAAATAAAGAAGTAATAATTAACGACCGATTAATTCCTCAACACTGCCATAGGAATGATCAGAAAATTTTTACAAAAAAATTGTAACTTTTTCAGTTTTCAATAGAATTGGATCAAATTTGAGATATTGCCATTTTACTATACTCTACAGTTTTGTATAAAATTTTTTGAAAATCGGACTACTATATCATATAGCTCCCATAGGAACGATCGAGAAATTAATACAATTAAATTTATAACTTTTTCAGTTTTCAGCTGATTTTCATCAAACTTGAGGTATAGCTATTTTATCTTAGTCTTAAATTTTGTGTCAAATTTCATGAAAATCGGACGACCATATCATATAGGTGCCATACAAACGATCGTTTGATGTAGAGGAAAAATGTGAATGTAAAACTGCAAATATAATATGTATAGATGAATGAAATGAAAGCAGGTATTACTTCATTGTTTTTTAACACAAATATGTATAATTTATATTGTATGGATTCCAATTCATAGAAGTTCTATCTGCAAGGGTATATAAACTTCGGCGTGCCAAAGTTAACTTCCTTTCTTTTTTTTTAATTTTCCGATTGTTTTTTTTGGCAGTTATATGATATAGTATATACCCTTCAGTACCAATCCTTTAGGATTGAGGTCTGAATCAGGTTGGAATGGACTGGACTCCATCCTGAATCATTAGGGAGCTTTCATACAAGCCATCCATCAATTTGCATATAGTAGGCGTTAGCAAACCTGAATTCGGAATACCCGAGGAATTTTCAGGGAATCATAAAGGAATCCTGCCAGGAATTTGTCGTGAATTTCGGCACGAAATCGAATTTCGGAAGGGATTCTGAACAGAATCATACAGGAATTTGATACGGAATCAGGCATAATCGTAGGGGAATTTAGAGTAGAATCAGGTAGGACTGTCAAAGTTGTACCAGGCGGAATCACCAAGAGGAATCACCATTTAGAGTAGAATCAGATAGGAATCCCAGAGGAAAAGGTCGTCTTTTGTCTCTATCTACTTTTGATTCGGTAACACGTGCTTACAGCGCTCTGTCCATTACACTGTGGAGAGCCTAGAAAAAAATATTTAATAAAATATCCCGTAAAAAATAAAATGCAACATTTGAAAAGATTACTTTTTGCAACACTGGCATTTTTCGTGCCAATATTAGCTTCCTTTCATGTTTTAATTTTATAGAATTTGTTTACTAAAAAATATGAACAAAATCTGACTAAATTTATTTAGTCAAAAGGTTTCACATATTTAACTCACTCTTTTAGAAATTTCTCCCCATAGTGAATGGATTTGATTATTACAAAAATAATACTTTCATTTGCCAGTCAACTAATAAAAATGAACACTATAATTAACTAGAACTATTTTGATGATAAACAAAATATTCTACTAATTCATTTATCGTTAGTTTACATGAGTTTGACCGTTCTAATAAGGAAGGTCCGTGCATTTTGTATTTTAAGCCAGGCTTTCCCAATGTATAAACAATTTTGGAGGGGTACAACATTTTTATATAGAACAAGAAAGGAAGCTAACTTCGGCACGCCGAAGCTTACATACCCTTGCTTATAGAATATCGACCACTATGAATTAATTAAATATATTTTATATATATTCACACACAGTTTTGCATATTCCTCTATATCTAACGACCGTTTGTACGGGAGCTACATGATATAGTCATCCGATTTTCATAATATTAAAATTGAGATTCCAGAATAATATAAAACCAAATTCGCAAATTTGATAAAAATCTGTTGAAAACTGGAAAACTTATAATTTTTAATTGTTTTAATTCTCGATCGTTCCTATGGCAGCCCTATGATATAGTAGTTCGATTTTTTATAATTAAACACAAAATTGTGGAATAATATAAAATGACTATATCTTAAATTTTATCAAATTCGGTTGAAAACTGATAAAGGTAAAACATTTATTTTTTAGTTTTCCGATCGTTTCTATGGCAGTTTTATGATTTAGTCCGTTCCGACATATATACGAGTAAGAGTATATAGAAGACTAAGTACAAAATTTTAATTCAGCTAGCTTCAAAACTGAGAGACTAGTTTTGTAGAAGCGGACAGACGGACGTGGCTAGATGGACTCGGCTGTTGATGCTGATCAAGAATATATATGTATATATTATATGGTCGGAGGTGACTCCTTCTCTGCGTTTCAAACTTCTGACTGAAATTATAATACCCTGCAAGGGTATAAAAATAGAGATTTTGACGGTTTATCCAAATTATTATTGCAGCTATTTAATATTATCTTCGGTGAATATAGTTTCGACTTTTATACTACAGGTAATCAAATGAACCCTAAGTAAATACTTTTTACAGGTTACAGGGCTTTCCTTCCGGCTGTTGCCTCGTCAATCTAATAGTAAAATACATATGTATATTCATATGTATGTTAGAATCAAATGGACAATATTTTCCATAAATATACACACCAATTAAGAAGAAAACAAATACTGGATATATAATGGCCTTCCGTTCACACCGTCTAGGTTAAAAAAGGTTCAAACGCAATTCTGGAAATGAATTTATTAACTGAATACAAATAAGTCACTTACCCTTTAACAATATTTAATAAATTACATTGCAAAACACTTGTGAATACTTCAGCTGCCTTTAGAGCTGCGAACATCCATCAATTTGCATATAGTAGGCGTTAGCAAACCTGAATTCGGAATACCCGAGGAATTTTCAGGGAATCATAAAGGAATCCTGCCAGGAATTTGTCGTGAATTTCGGCACGAAATCGAATTTCGGAAGGGATTCTGAACAGAATCATACAGGAATTTGATACGGAATCAGGCATAATCGTAGGGGAATTTAGAGTAGAATCAGGTAGGACTGTCAAAGTTGTACCAGGCGGAATCACCAAGAGGAATCACCATTTAGAGTAGAATCAGATAGGAATCCCAAAGGAAAACGTGTAGAAGATCCCCGGAACCCCACGCCCCATAGTAAATATCTGACGCAATTTGTATACATTTTTATTATATCATTATTTATTCATGTAAAAAACTTTATAATTTGTTCAATGATTACCACAATTTTTCTTAGCATAACTTCTTGCATTTTCCCTAAACATATGTTACAGGGCTTTCCTTCCGGCTGTTGCCTCGTCAATCTAATAGTAAAATACATATGTATATTCATATGTATGTTAGAATCAAATGGACAATATTTTCCATAAATATACACACCAATTAAGAAGAAAACAAATACTGGATATAAAATGGCCTTCCGTTCACACCGTCTAGGTTAAAAAAGGTTCAAACGCAATTCTGGAAATGAATTTATTAACTGAATACAAATAAGTCACTTACCCTTTAACAATATTTAATAAATTACATTGCAAAACACTTGTGAATACTTTAGCTGCCTTTAGAGCTGCGAACAAATCTATTTCGTTAAATAATATTTTTCATCATATCAATCTAATTTCATAACCGCTGCTCCGAATCCCTTCGAAAACAACAATTAATTGTTTGGCAGTATCCGAACACAGGTAGAATTTTCATTGCCTACTTTGTTTCGGAGTTATTTTACCGAAAACCCATGAGATTTGTGTTTGTTTTTAGAACATGACACCAGGAATCGGACAGGAAAGGAATTTTGGTACTAAAGTGTAGTATCTGGTACATGATACATGATACATATACATATGTACATACGTTTAGTATGTATATGATTCTTATTATGGATTCACATTGTTTACACTTGTATTATTTTAAAATATTTTTATATATATATATTATAATATAATATTTTCTCTTGTCGCGTTTTTGTTAATTTTTTACGAAGTTTAAATTTCAATTGAACTTTCTGTTAAGGTCGTCTTTTGTCTCTATCTACTTTTGATTCGGTAACACGTGCTTACAGCGCTCTGTCCATTACACTGTGGAGAGCCTAGAAAAAAATATTTAATAAAATATCCCGTAAAAAATAAAATGCAACATTTGAAAAGATTAATTTTTGCAACACTGGCATTTTTCGTGCCAATATTAGCTTCCTTTCATGTTTTAATTTTATAGAATTTGTTTACTAAAAAATATGAACAAAATCTGACTAAATTTATTTAGTCAAAAGGTTTCACATATTTAACTCACTCTTTTAGAAATTTCTCCCCATAGTGAATGGATTTGATTATTACAAAAATAATACTTTCATTTGCCAGTCAACTAATAAAAATGAACACTATAATTAACTAGAACTATTTTGATGATAAACAAAATATTCTACTAATTCATTTATCGTTAGTTTACATGAGTTTGACCGTTCTAATAAGGAAGGTCCGTGCATTTTGTATTTTAAGCCAGGCTTTCCCAATGTATAAACAATTTTGGAGGGGTACAACATTTTTATATAGAACAAGAAAGGAAGCTAACTTCGGCACGCCGAAGCTTACATACCCTTGCTTATAGAATATCGACCACTATGAATTAATTAAATATATTTTATATATATTCACACACAGTTTTGCATATTCCTCTATATCTAACGACCGTTTGTACGGGAGCTACATGATATAGTCATCCGATTTTCATAATATTAAAATTGAGATTCCAGAATAATATAAAACCAAATTCGCAAATTTGATAAAAATCTGTTGAAAACTGGAAAACTTATAATTTTTAATTGTTTTAATTCTCGATCGTTCCTATGGCAGCCCTATGATATAGTAGTTCGATTTTTTATAATTAAACACAAAATTGTGGAATAATATAAAATGACTATATCTTAAATTTTATCAAATTCGGTTGAAAACTGATAAAGGTAAAACATTTATTTTTAGTTTTCCGATCGTTTCTATGGCAGTTTTATGATTTAGTCCGTTCCGACATATATACGAGTAAGAGTATATAGAAGACTAAGTACAAAATTTTAATTCAGCTAGCTTCAAAACTGAGAGACTAGTTTTGTAGAAGCGGACAGACGGACGTGGCTAGATGGACTCGGCTGTTGATGCTGATCAAGAATATATATGTATATATTATATGGTCGGAGTTGACTCCTTCTCTGCGTTTCAAACTTCTGACTGAAATTATAATACCCTGCAAGGGTATAAAAATAGAGATTTTGACGGTTTATCCAAATTATTATTGCAGCTATTTAATATTATCTTCGGTGAATATAGTTTCGACTTTTATACTACAGGTAATCAATTGAACCCTAAGTAAATACTTTTTACAGGTTACAGGGCTTTCCTTCCGGCTGTTGCCTCGTCAATCTAATAGTAAAATACATATGTATATTCATATGTATGTTAGAATCAAATGGACAATATTTTCCATAAATATACACACCAATTAAGAAGAAAACAAATACTGGATATATAATGGCCTTCCGTTCACACCGTCTAGGTTAAAAAAGGTTCAAACGCAATTCTGGAAATGAATTTATTAACTGAATACAAATAAGTCACTTACCCTTTAACAATATTTAATAAATTACATTGCAAAACACTTGTGAATACTTCAGCTGCCTTTAGAGCTGCGAACAAATCTATTTCGTTAAATAATATTTTTCATCATATCAATCTAATTTCATAACCGCTGCTCCGAATCCCTTCGAAAACAACAATTAATTGTTTGGCAGTATCCGAACACAGGTAGAATTTTCATTGCCTACTTTGTTTCGGAGTTATTTTACCGAAAACCCATGAGATTTGTGTTTGTTTTTAGAACATGACACCAGGAATCGGACAGGAAAGGAATTTTGGTACTAAAGTGTAGTATCTGGTACATGATACATGATACATATATGTACATACGTTTAGTATGTATATGATTCTTATTATGGATTCACATTGTTTACACTTGTATTATTTTAAAATATTTTTACTATGGAATATTTTCTCTTGTCGCGTTTTTGTTAATTTTTTACGAAGTTTAAATTTCAATTGAACTTTCTGTTAAGGTCGTCTTTTGTCTCTATCTACTTTTGATTCGGTAACACGTGCTTACAGCGCTCTGTCCATTACACTGTGGAGAGCCTAGAAAAAAATATTTAATAAAATATCCCGTAAAAAATAAAATGCAACATTTGAAAAGATTAATTTTTGCAACACTGGCATTTTTCGTGCCAATATTAGCTTCCTTTCATGTTTTAATTTTATAGAATTTGTTTACTAAAAAATATGAACAAAATCTGACTAAATTTATTTAGTCAAAAGGTTTCACATATTTAACTCACTCTTTTAGAAATTTCTCCCCATAGTGAATGGATTTGATTATTACAAAAATAATACTTTCATTTGCCAGTCAACTAATAAAAATGAACACTATAATTAACTAGAACTATTTTGATGATAAACAAAATATTCTACTAATTCATTTATCGTTAGTTTACATGAGTTTGACCGTTCTAATAAGGAAGGTCCGTGCATTTTGTATTTTAAGCCAGGCTTTCCCAATGTATAAACAATTTTGGAGGGGTACAACATTTTTATATAGAACAAGAAAGGAAGCTAACTTCGGCACGCCGAAGCTTACATACCCTTGCTTATAGAATATCGACCACTATGAATTAATTAAATATATTTTATATATATTCACACACAGTTTTGCATATTCCTCTATATCTAACGACCGTTTGTACGGGAGCTACATGATATAGTCATCCGATTTTCATAATATTAAAATTGAGATTCCAGAATAATATAAAACCAAATTCGCAAATTTGATAAAAATCTGTTGAAAACTGGAAAACTTATAATTTTTAATTGTTTTAATTCTCGATCGTTCCTATGGCAGCCCTATGATATAGTAGTTCGATTTTTTATAATTAAACACAAAATTGTGGAATAATATAAAATGACTATATCTTAAATTTTATCAAATTCGGTTGAAAACTGATAAAGGTAAAACATTTATTTTTTAGTTTTCCGATCGTTTCTATGGCAGTTTTATGATTTAGTCCGTTCCGACATATATACGAGTAAGAGTATATAGAAGACTAAGTACAAAATTTTAATTCAGCTAGCTTCAAAACTGAGAGACTAGTTTTGTAGAAGCGGACAGACGGACGTGGCTAGATGGACTCGGCTGTTGATGCTGATCAAGAATATATATGTATATATTATATGGTCGGAGGTGACTCCTTCTCTGCGTTTCAAACTTCTGACTGAAATTATAATACCCTGCAAGGGTATAAAAATAGAGATTTTGACGGTTTATCCAAATTATTATTGCAGCTATTTAATATTATCTTCGGTGAATATAGTTTCGACTTTTATACTACAGGTAATCAAATGAACCCTAAGTAAATACTTTTTAGAAAATGTCTCCTTAGATAGGCAGCCAACTTCTTCCCAAATTGGTATACCCTCGGCAAACAGTATACAAATATGTATGTATGTACATACATATGTAGTTATTAACGCATTAATACTGGACGCTTAGAATAAGAGCATGATATACACAATTTTAGAGGAGAAAGCGCAACAACAGAAGAGATTACGGTCAATAAACGGTTCACGGTAGGTTTCAAACCGGCGTGCTAAAGCACAACAATATCAAACAAGTTGCATCAAACTTGTTGAAGGTCAAAACTGGTTGCTGGCTTCGTGGAAAAACAGCCGAGGCAGTGCTTTCTATGAGTTCAATTCAGAAACAACGTCACACGCCGCTTAGTACTGATCCGACGGAAAACTATTCAAAGTGAAATAAAAATAGTAAAACATTTATACAAATGCACATATGTTAGATGGCAGCCATAGTTTTCACCAACAACAAAATTAGTCGTTAATTCATTTAACTATAAAAAAACAGAAAAGTACATTTTAAAAAATATGGTCAGACTATATGAAAAAAATGTTTTATACTCTTCTATAGTTTATATTTTATTTAAATGTGAATTACCATAAACTCAAATATGCCTCTCTGCAAGCTTTCTCTGGCCCTAACGCAAAAGCTGTTGCCCAGCGATATGTGCGGCGAAGACAGTACTTCAGACTCAAAAAAGCCTGCCAATAACAATACTGATATACCAAAAATGAAGCTGCTCAAGGTTAACTATGTGCATCAATGCAAGGAGGCTATAATAAACAGGTCAAACGAGACTCCACAGTCTGCCCGACTGCCCAACAACCCCACTCGTTTCGAGGGTATATGCAGACAGTTCAGAAGTCCGGCACATATCGGAACTGCCTGCCAAACCGGTTCTAACATACTGCTAAACTCAAAAAGTCTTTTGGCCTCCCAAGCACAATTCAAAACCAAGTCCTGGTCAACTCAAAAATCCAATGCCTCGTTTCAGGAGCCAAATGTGAATGATTATTCTTGTAACAAGGCAATTAGTTGTGACTGTAATAATTCACATACTTGGAAATATCGAAGCTCTCCTTGCGACTTTCAGCTTGAGGCCAACGGTATAAAATCACGTTCCGACCGAATCGCGCGGATCGAAAGCACCGAAGTGAGTAATACACTTCTGAAAGCCGAGCATTTAGTTCGAAACCGGAAAACCGAACATCATTCAAATCTATGGATATCATTTGACGGGGGACAAGAGAGTAACTCTAGCTATACAAAAAAAAACAAACTAGAGAGAGTTCACTTTCGCAAAAAACGGGAAACTCTGCATATCATTAATCGCTTGGTGGATGAAAAAGAACGGTTCAACCAACATCAAAATTCGCAGAGAAATTATCTGGATAAAAGATATGATTACGTCGTACCAGATGATCGACACCATAGAGTAAATCAACAAAGATGGTCTCATTCTGGTGCTTCTTCCGATAATTGCAATAGTCAAAAGCCATCGAATTTTTCTCATAATATCGAGGAAGCTAATGGAGAAAAATCGGAAAGGCAGGGTTCTGTCAAGTCAAGAGAAAATCTTACAAGTCAGATGAAAGCTATTGTTGGTGATCCAAACGACTTACAGAATTTTTCCAAGAAGAATCTGACCAAGATAACGACTAACGAATTGATACAAGCCGCTACAGAAAATATAAAGCAGTGTAACATTGAACAAGAGCGCAAATTAAATAATTTGAAAGTAAGGGCAGAGGAATCCAAATGCAACAGCCGTTGGGTTAGGGAGACGCCTAATATAAAACTCTTCAATGAATTCATTAACTTCTCTAGAGTCGATCCTATTGTGTTGTCGTCTAACGCATCGTCCAACTGTGGAGAATCCTGTCTAGATAATAATTCTCTGTGTGACTCAGAAAAAGATTGCTGTGAATGTTATAGACAGCAGTATTCAACTTCTTCCTTAAGCTGCAATGCCGTTGGAGGTGTTTTCTGGAATAATGCATATAACGAACTTTCGCCAGGAAAATCGACCAGCTGTTGTTGCAGCTTGTCGAGCTGTGATGAAGATGACTGCCCATACTTTGGGAGAAGCTTAAGCGACGTCTTAAAGTCCGAAAGAGTACAACTTCAAAGCGACTTATCCGAAGATATAAAAAGATACCAAAAGGTAATACAAAACGTAGGAACCGTGACTGGTGGTAGCTTATAAAGCATATAAATAATTATTCACCTCTAATAAGAGGCGGAAGTCGAGATAGCTCCCACAGCCTATCGTAATAGCTTTCCGTTTTCTTCTATTTTCTTTTTCATCACATTATTAGGTTTTAAATTTCCTTTTAAAAGTGTATATTATATTTATACCGATCTCCACATTTTCTTGTTTTTATTTATTATTTTTAATATTAGTAGTTAGGAAGCTAACTTATATACATACGACAAAGTTTGAACACCTTTGTTGTTAATTGTATGTTTAAAAATTAATTAATTAATTTAAATGAAAACTAAACTTTTATAATATGAGAGGTGTACATCACTTAATATACATATGTATATAAGCATTAAACTTTTATTCATTTCATATTTACAGTTTTACAATTTGACAAAGCGAAATCTTGAAACAAGCTTTGAATATAAAATTGGCTTTCTCAGAGTAGATGGATATGGCCCATACATCGATGTTTTTGCACCTCTATTAGTAAAGATGCTCTCTTTGACAGGCCGATTCTGTACTCTTACACTTTGCAATTGGATCATTAGGAATAAATCCAATTCGTTCAAATGAAAAAAAATGACTTACAGGAAATATATGAAACACATACATATAATACAAATTTGGTTTCAACATTTGCCTGTGCATATACTTAGTTGAAAATGAAAATATTTTGAAAAGTTTTTTTTTTTTTTTTTAATTATACTTATATACTAGAGAGAGTATTTAGAAAACTAAGTGAAAAGTTTCTTTCAGATAGCTTTTTAAACTGGGAGACTTCTTTGCGTAGAAATAGACAGACGGACAGACAGGGCGATATGTCTCATAATATGTAAAAAAAAATCCTTATTTCTTTTCTATATAGATATGTATGTATACTTTATAGATATGGCCCTGACAAATTGTGATTCAAGAATTTCGATTAAAATCTGATGAATATCATACTTATTTATTAAGGGATTCCCCATTAAACTGAATTACTGAAAACATCGGTGATGTATCTCGATACTTTGCCGATATTTTCAGCTGGATAGGGAACGACCAAAAAAAAGTTAGCGACTGAATTCGTTAACAGCTTATTTAAAAAGTTTCAATGGTCAAGTCTAATCAACCGAGAAAAGCGCTTTGAAAGAGTTAATTTTTTATTTATTCTCTGCAGAAGCGTATCAGTATGGTGACCCGAATGTACCGACTTCTGTATCCAAATCTTACATAATTCCCTTTGAAATTCTACCAACAATTTATGAAGATCAAGAAGTTTATGCAAGTAGTCTCGTAAAACGCTCGGACCAGAAATTTCCTGTAAATATTAAATTATTATGTTAAATTTTTCTGAAAATAAATCGTATTCCATTATTAGTAATAATTTTGAATTTGATTAAATGGGGAAAGATGTTGCTGTGCAAAACTTATTAAAAAAAAGACACTGGATTTTCAGTAATATAGTTGATGTTTTCGGTGTTGCTGAACGAATGAAAATATCGTAGAAGCATTTGAATGGCAACAACTCTTTTAGTTTCCGGTATTTTCATTGATTTATATATTATTAATCAACATCCGAGCCTATCTATCCATACTCACTCTGTCCGTATGTTTGCCCCTTTGTCCGTTTCTCTAATTTTTTAAGCTATCTGAATAAAAATTTAGATTTTTAGAAAAAAAATTCCCGTTTTTAACATAGTTTCATTTATGTAGTCATTTTATCTACCATAGAAATGATCGTTAAATATAGAGGAAAATTATAAAATGTAAATAGAAAACTGTAAATTTAATTTGTATAGGCAAATGTTAAAGGTGATGTTTCTGTTTTTAAATTGGTACCAACCTAATAGGTTATTTAATGATCCAATTGTAAAATGTAAGGGTATATCAATTTCGGTGTGTCGAAGATATCTTCCGTCCTGTCTTTACTCGCGTGTTGAGGTTTTATGAAAAAATATAATCTTTGGAACACATGGGAAAAGTTATCCTATAAGCTATTTTTCATAGAATGTGGTTAATGGACAACTGGCATGAAAGGCAAGCTAATATAGCCCTCAGATTTGATATCAGTTGAAGGTATATTCCATCGATCCATTTGATTGCAGCATGGAGTTTAAATACCGGATTTTCTATCAGCGACTAAATAATAAATATAAATTTTCAATTTTTTGCCCTTGATATTTATAGATTGCATGCAAAACGAATTCAAATAAATGAACTTAATCCATTGATTCAATCACAACTTGTATAAATTCTTTTCATTTAAAATCCTTATTGTTAGGATAATCCTTCGGTTTGGCTTCTCAAAATGGTCAAGCTTGGGATACATTTGTTTGCCATCAATGTTTTGAGAACTGTCTATATTTAAATAAAATATTTTTCCTTGATTCATAAAGGTTTAGATTGTCTTGAAGTATCAAGTCCCTTGACTCATTCATGAAAGCTTATTCTATTGTCCGTGTGTAGGGGGGCGATCCTGCCGCTAAAGATCCTGTAGTGTAGATATAACCCGTAGAGGTTAAAAAGAGAAGTCGGGGGCGTCAAAGAACCAAAGACATTACAGTGTTGAAGATCCGTAACGTCATACGATTTTTTTGGACACGATTTTCACATTTCGTTCAAAAACCAACGAGAGTGCGCTCTAGAGCCAGCCGCTCTCTATTACGCATACAGCGATGTTTTCGTGCTGGCTGGCTGGCATGTCGTGCCTCAAAATACCGATTTCGCGATTGAACCTATTACATATTTTTACATTTATTTTATTTCGTTTTTATAATTTATGTGTTATAATATATTATGTCTGAGTCAATTAAATAATATAATTGAAAATACATATATAATTATGAATTTAAATTATCTTTTAATTTTGTTATAATAATAACAATAATAATTAATATACATTTGTATTTAATAATTCAAATATATTATATACATACATATTTATATATTCTGTCGTGCCTCAAAATACCGATTTCGCGATTGAACCTATTACATATTTTTACATTTATTTTATTTCGTTTTTATAATTTATGTGTTATAATATATTATGTCTGAGTCAATTAAATAATATAATTGAAAATACATATATAATTATGAATTTAAATTATCTTTTATTTTTGTTATAATAATAACAATAATAATTAATATACATTTGTATTTAATAATTCAAATATATTATATACATACATATTTATATATTCTGTATGTATATATTATGTAAATAACCTATTTTTAGTATATGATTTGAAAATAAAATGTAGTTTAATGATTTTCTGAAATTGGAATTAAACACTTATATTTTTTTGGATTACTTATATAAAAAAAAAACAATATAAAGGGATTCAAGCACTAAAAAATGTAATCAAGCTAAAATCAAAACAGACAAACACATCGATAGGCACATATATACAAAAACAGTGCAGTACATGTTTGAGATCAGCTGCCCAGTCGGACTTTTCTGCCAAATTCCTGCCGACTTTTATGCTTACCCGTTTGGTGTGTAGGACCCACCGTTTATGTAAAGTTCTCATTCGATTTTATTCATGATGATGACGTCGCTGCTCGACTCATAATCAAATTCACCCTTACCGTTCAGTGGGGTAATTCATGGTGCCGCCGTCGCTTCTCGGCTCATGATCAAATTCATCATGAGCGGTATGGATGAAATTAAGGAAAAAATTCGATAAAAAAAAACATTAGTATGAAGCTTCGCCTTTTTCACATGCAGATTTTTTACATTTGTTACATTTAAATTGAAGTAAATCTTAGAACCATACTCACAAACTTTTTTGGAATAGTATACGACCAACTGGGAACTGAACCTACTTAATGTTTAACAGTCCTGCCGCATAAATTTGGCTAAAAAGCCCGACTGTTCAGTGGTTATTCCGTTTTAAAGCTATCTGAATAAAACTTTGCAGTTTCATTCGGAAAATTTTTATAAACAAAATTTATTACTTTTTTAGTTTCTAACAGATTTTTATCAAATTAAAAACGTCGTTATTTTTCATTATTCCCAGAATTTCGGTTTTAATTTTATGAAAATAGGACGACTATATTATATTATTACTACATTGCTTTTTAACATAAATATTTTTATATTATATTGTATTAATTCCTAGTGATCGAAGTTCGTTTTTGCAAGGTTATAATCTTCTTATAAGGTTCCTTTCTTGTTTACCTTGTTTTATTTTTGAATTTTTAACAGATGCTTTCACTTTTTTATACCCTTGCAGGGTATTATAATTTCAGTCAGAAGTTTGCAACGCAGTGAAGGAGGCACCTCCGACTATATAAAGCATATATATTCTTGATCAGGATCAACAGCCGAGTCGATCTAGCCATGTCCGTCTGTCCGTCTGTCCTTCTGTCCGTCTCTCCGTCTGTCCGTTTCTACGCAAACTAGTCTCTCAGTTTTGAAGCTATCTGAATGAAACTTTGTAGTTAGCCTTCTATATACTCTCACTCGTATATATGTCGGAACGGGCCGAATTGGAAGACTATATCATATAGCTGCCATAGGAATGATCGGAAAATGTTTACAAAAAAAATTTTAACTTTTTCAGTTTTCAATAGAATTGGATCAAATTTGAGATATAGCCATTTTACTATACTCTACAATTTTGCATAAAATTTTATGAAAATCGGACTACTATATCATATAGCTCCCATAGGAACGATCGAGAAATTAAAACAATTAAAAATTATAACTTTTTCGGTTTTCAACAGATTTTCATCAAATTTGAGGTATAGCCATTTTATATAAGTCTTAAATTTTGTGGCAAATTTCATAAAAATCGGACGACTATATCATATAGGTGCCATACAAACGATCGTTTGATGTGGAGGAAAAATGCAAATCAGTGAATGTAAAACTGCAAATATAATATGTATAGGTGAATGAAATGAAAGCAGGTATTACTTCATTGTTTTTTAACACAAATATATATAATTTATATTGTATGGATTCCTATTCATAGAAGTTCTATCTGCAAGGGTATATAAACTTCGGCGTGCTGAAGTTAGCTTCCTTTCTTGTTTTATTATTAGTTTTAATGAGTATGTACAAAAACAAAAACAAGAAACTCTTTACACACTTGAGTTTTCCATTGTTTTGTTTCGTCTTGAGAAAAAAACGGTACTTTATCGTTACCTATGTAACGACACACACCAATATTAATTTTAAAAGCCTATGTATACTGAGCTGTATCTCTCCATTCTCCAATCAAATTTGAAGAAGAGTGTAAAAAAATTTGGTTTATTGGCAAAATATCGGCCGAAATTTAAATGTCAAATATCAAGATAATGACCCCAAACATATATGTATATACATATATCTACACTCAAGCATACATATAGTCGCTAAAATATGTATGTATGTATGTACAGATAACTAAGGTCTTAAGTGTATGATTTTAATATTTATATTAATAACAAATGATTATATGTAACCAATTTTTCGACAAATTTATTTTCAGACTAGCTGTACACATGATCTCAGACCAATGAGTAAAGAAGGGTTTTCTGAATTGATTGCCTCGACAGAAAACGCCGAACAAAGTCAGAATCAAGAGGTAAATTTTGAATGCTCATGTTTATTATACCCTTGCAGAGTATTATAAACTGCAACGCAGTGAAGGAGTCATCTCCGACTATATAAAGTATATACATACATATGTACATTCTAATAAGTGTCAACAGCCGAGTCAATCTAGCCATGTGTACAAAAAATATTATAACTTTTTCAGCTTTCAACAGATTTTTATAAAATTTAAGAGATAGACATTTTATAATTTTCTAAAATTTTGTGTAAAATTTTAAGAAAATCTGACTACCATTTCATTCATATTTGTAGCTGCCATGGGAACGATTGAGAAGTTAATACAATTAAAAATAAGAACTTTTTAGTTTTCAACAGATTAGCATCAAATTCCCCTTTTATTTTTTATGAAAATCGGACTACTATATTATATAGCTCCCATAATAACGATCGAGAAATTAATACAATTGAAAAGTATAACTTTTTCAGTTTTCAACAGATTATCATCAAATTTGAGATATAGCCATTTCTACAATTTTATGTAAAATTTTATGAAAATCGGACGGATATGTAAAATAGGTGCCATACAAACGCTAGTTAGATATAGAGGAAAATTTTAATCTGTGAATGTAAAACTGTAAATATAATATGAATGTAGAGTTTGTATTATAATGTTTATTTAGAATTAGTATGCTGAGATTAATATAAGAACTTAAACGACTTTAACAACTTTATCGACTTTAACAACATTCAAAATACTCCCGAAAATTGTGACTGCTTCTGTTTACTTCTTTTCCGCAACTGATCCACGCTCCCTTTGCTCTCTCGATCGCTCAAACGCCATTCACAACGAAATCCCTAGGTATTCGTTGTCCGCCAGTTCCTCACTACTTTACACTCGGCCCTCCTGCTCATCTGCATCTGACCCAGATGAAACCAACTCGTCGTCGTTGTCGGCTACGAACCTCCACAGCTTCATGTTATCGCAGCTAGTACTGGTTAAGTTTGGTCCTTCCACTTGGGCTGCTTTGCGCACGTCGTTCCGCCCATTTCGCTTAATTTGGACGACCTCATATGGTCCTAAATACGGGCTAGCCAGCTTCCTTCCTGCGACGAACTGAGTCCTCTTGATTGCGACGAGATCACCCAATCTGTAGTCGTGAGCACGCTTGCGCTTTTTGTCGTAGTTTTGCTTATATATTTGCTGCGCCTCTTCAATGTTCTTTTTAGCTGTCTCTCGCATTTCTTGTCGCTCAAGGTTAAACTGAGAGACAAACTCTTCATTTAGGATTTCTTGCAAACGTTCTTCTGCATGGCTGTACATTCGTGTCTCAAACAACAGCTCAAATGGCGACATTTTTGTTGAGGAATTTACTTGTGAGTTTATAGCTTTTTGCACCTGAGGCACATATTTAAACCACTTGCTAGGCTCTTCTGCCGATACCTTGGCGATGACAGCAATGATTGATCGGTTAATACGCTCAACTTGGCCGTTTCCACGAGCTACTCCAGTAGTTGAGTAAATATGTTCCACTTTGTTGATGTTCAGCCACTCTTCAAACGCTCCAGATGTAAATGCGGAACCACGATCACTGACAACACGTTTAGGAAATCCAAACACATTGGACCACTCAGTGAATCTCCTGATAACCTCTTCCTGAGGTTCTTTGTTGAGGAATTTACTTGTGAGTTTATAGCTTTTTGCACCTGAGGCACATATTTAAACCACTTGCTAGGCTCTTCTGCCGATACCTTGGCGATGACAGCAATGATTTATCGGTTAATACGCTCAATTTGGCCGTTTCCACGAGCTACTCCAGTAGTTGAGCAAATATGTTCCACTTTGTTGATGTTCAGCCACTCTTCAAACGCTCCAGATGTAAATGCGGAACCACGATCACTGACAACACGTTTAGGAAATCCAAACACATTGGACCACTCAGTGAATCTCCTGATAACCTCTTCCTGCCCTGTAGTTTTGGTGGGATAGAGCCAAACAAACTTGGCGAATCCATCGACAATTGCCAGTATATATTTGTAATGCTTTGATGTGGCGTCCATTGGCCCCAGATGGTCGATATAGCCCTTCTTGCTTTCCCATCTTCTTACTGTAAATAATGCATTTAATACAGTTGGCTATAAAATTCGTTACCTTCCGCTCTAGGTGAGGGATCCAAAACTGCTGCTTTACGGAATGAATTGTTTTTTGAACTGCAAAGTGGCCGACTTCATGAGACTCTCGAATGACATCTTTTTCCATCGATTTAGGCACAATAAGATCGTTGCCTTCGACTGTTCGGTAAAGAATATCGCCTTTCATCCTAAAATTTTGATATGGACGATCCTGGAGAATGACCAGAATTGCTTTACTGTATTCGTCATTCTGTTGTGCGTTCCTGATGCGTGCTGCTACTTCTGCTGTTACGATCCAAACTGACTCTGGGTGGCGACTCAGGTGATCCACGTGTTTCATCTTGTTCCCTGGCTTGTGAACAACATTGCAGCTAAAGTCCTGTAGATACATTACGTACGCTGCAACTTCTCTCGGAATATCGTCTTTTCTGGTGGTGTCTTTGAACGCGGAGCAATCTGTGACAAGCTTGAAGTGAATGCCCATGAGGTAATGACGAAACTTTCTGAGCGCTAAATAGATAGCCTTCGCCTCTAAGATGTAGCTATGTCTTTCGGCCTCTGAAGCTGACGTCTTCTTACTCCAGAAATAAACCGGGTGCAGTTGGCCATCAAATACCTGCAGTAAAACTGCCCCAAATCCGTCTTTACATGCATCGGTGTGCAGCTCAGCTTGTGCTGTTCGCGAGTATATGTGTAGCACCGGTTCGCAGGAGAGAATTCGCTTAAGCTCTTGAAGGGACTGCAGTTCTGCGCTTCCTATTTGGAATTCGACGTCCTTTCTGAGGAGATTGGTCAACGGTCGGGCAATATGAGCATAACCTGGAATGAACTTTCTGAAAAAACCTGTTAAACCAAGAAATGACTGCACCGCTCGTATATTTTTGGGTGTTTTAAATTTATTTACTGCCGATGTTTTTTCTTCGCCTGGCCATATCTTTCCATTTTCCACAGTATGTCCTAAAAAGTGTATACGGGACTGCATGAAGCTACATTTCTTCCACTTTATCTTCAGTCCAAACGGCATTGCTGTTTCTAGTACACGTCTTGTCTTTTTCATGCATTCCTCCGCTGTGGATGCGTATACAATAATATCGTCCATGTATAACTGCATCACATTGTCGTTGATCAGGTCTTGAAATATGTGATTAACAAATCTGATAAATGCAGCCGGTGAATTTTTAAATCCGAACGGAGCTTTGTTAAATTCATAGAGTCCTTCTTTTGTTACAAATGCCGTAAGCGGCTTGCTAGCCTCCGCCACAGCTACGTGAAAAAACCCATTTTCCAGATCCAGAGTTGAGAAAAATGCGGCCTCTTGAAGTTTTTCCAATACTTCTTCCATCAACGGTACTGGGAAACAATCCGCCAACACCATGCTGTTCAGTTTTCTGTAGTCAATACAGACTCGAAGGGAACCGTCTTTCTTCTTGACCACTACAACTCTGCTGGCCACGTTCGATGATGACTTACGTATTATTCCCTGGGTCAACCATTCTATTATTTGGTTTTTAACAGCCTCGGCTTCGTTTGCAGACAGACGAGATGGTGACTGATGAAATGGTTTTATTAAGCTCGACTGGACACTGGTTAGAAGGGTTTGATGGCCTTCTCTGGACTTCTTCGACGAGTTTTGATACTGCTTCTTTATACCTGGGTGAAACAGTAACCAAATTAGATGCTTCTATAATATTATAAACATCGGAGCCAAATCCATCTGCTTCTTTATCTTCAGTTCTCAAACCCGTCAATTTGAAGCCATTGTCGTCGCAGTAAAAGTTGAACTTTCTGGTAAAATCATGACCTAGCAACGCTCCACAATCGATGACGTCATTGGGCACGACTAGAAACTTTTGCTGCGTGAATAACTGATCGGCAACAACTTCAGCGGTGAAAAATCCAATAGGCTTTGTTTTTTTCTGGCCCAGACCACTCAACAACGATGCACTTTTATAAATATCAATGTTTCCAATTTTTTCAGCAATCTTCTTCGTGACAAGTGAAACATCCGATCCTGTATCGATCAAACAATTTATTTCAGCACCATTTACGGAGATTAGTTTGAAACGGCTTTGGTCAACCACCTTGCGAACATTTGCTTCTACAAACGGGCAATTTTTAGCAATATGACCGTTCTCATTGCATTTGAAGCACTTCGTTGGAGACTGACAATCTTTGATTTTATGCTCTGCTGAACCACACTTAAAACAGAATTCCTTTCGTTTCTGTTGGTTATTTGGTGATGCACTCCGCTTGTTCCACGAATTACGAGGCTTATCGTCCAGTTGCATTATAATTTCATATTGTTCTCTGAGGGATTTGAAGGTCTTGCACGAATAAAGTATTGCTTTGTACTCATTTTTTACATCTAGTCCGTTTACGATGTACTGCAGCACCGCTGATTCCTCAACCTTTCCTGCCATGGCAATCTGACGTAAATGTAAAATATATTCGTGAAATGTCTCGCTCTTCTTTTTCTTCCTGCTTTGCAACTGGCGATGCACGTCGGCGCTGGTGGTACTGCTTGAAAACTCTTCTATCAGTGCTCTCTTTAGCTCATTATATTCGCTCACACACACTGACTGTAGAAACAATTTGGCTGCACCTATCATCTTGCCTCTGGCTTGTACATACATCTGTTTAAGTGTGAGATCGTATGCATCTGCATTTTTTTCGAACATTTCAAACCATTGTTGCACCAATTGACCATCAAAATCGTTTACCACTTTCTCAAAATTATCAATTTGTGGCTTAGCGCGGCCATTTGTGCTCTCATCAATTTGAATTTTTAATGACAACAACTGCAATATATTGTCGATTTTATTCTTCATATCCGAAACTTCCAATACATTCTCATTTTCTTTCAGTTCCACTGCTTCTTTCTGCTCCTCCTCGACTTCTTCCATATCTTGTACTTCTCTTCTATTTTTTGCCGGCGTTCTACGCGTCATTTTTTTTTTTTTCCCCGTATCCAAGTCACAGCGAAAGGAATATAAGAGTACAGAATTAAACTGCGCAGCTGTCTTCTTTGATATTTTCTACCTGAATCGCTTTTCTACGCAGTTCCTTTTTTCAACCGAATTTCACAACTTCTGTTCACAGCTTCTAGTCACGCACTAGTTAATTTAACTCTTTTCTTAATTGTTTATCTCAGACCCGGTACGAGCCCCCAAATGTAGAGTTTGTATTATAATGTTTATTTAGAATTAGTATGCTGAGATTAATATAAGAACTTAAACGACTTTAACAACTTTATCGACTTTAACAACATTCAAAATACTCCCGAAAATTGCGACTGCTTCTGTTTACTTCTTTTCCGCAACTGATCCACGCTCCCTTTGCTCTCTCGATCGCTCAAACGCCATTCACAACGAAACCCCTAGGTATTCGTTGTCCGCCAGTTCCTCACTACTTTACATGTATAGGTGAAAGAAATGAAAGCATATTATTACTTCATTGTTTTTTAACATAAATATATATAATTTATATTGTATTGATTCCAATTCATCGAAGTTCTATCTGCAAGGGTATATAATGTTCGGCGTGCCGAATATGGCTTCCTTTCTTGTTTTTAATTATATTAAGTCTTATTTCTATTGTCTTAAGTCAAAGTCTATTGTCTATATTAATATTTAACATATTTATGAGTTATTTGTTGTTCCTTGCATATGTTGTTGCGTACATATGCACATACATACCGACGTATCTAAGAGTTGGCCGGCAACCGTAACCTCATGCCAGGGATGTTAGAATCAGTTGGGAATCATATGAGCACACGTGCGAGATTCAAATTCAGATACAGATTTAAATTTATTTTAATGCAGATACGGACTTAATTTTAACATTTAACCTCGAATCGTACTTGAAAATTTTAAGACAATACATTGGTAATCGCATTACTTTTTTTTTTTTTTTGTATAGGATCTGAAGGTATTATAAAACCACACGCTCAAAATATGTTAACAACATTAACATACATATATCTATTGCTCACAAAAAAAGTTTGTTTTAATATTTTAGTCACCCCTTTCGCCTTCTCAACTCATAAGAACTATAACTAAGCAGAATAATTAAATTTCGGCTTAAATAATATGGGCTGGTTGTTTTGTGAAAATTTGTAGTAAAACCAGATACATAATTTGGACTTAATAAGACAATAAAGTGTCTGTAAAAGTTATAATTTTTTAACATTTATGAGGACGTTTGTCAACGTTACATTCTGCAAATCAGACATGTTTCTTTTAATTTTTCTAACAACCATTTATCTTATAGTCATTCACGCTGGACTATCTTTTATTGTTTTGTTATTAATGATAAATTTTTGTATATTTCAGGACCTCGAATCGTTGCGTCTAAAGCGGGGTCACGTGCTGACAGAGCTTTTGGAGACGGAGCGAATCTATGTAAATGAAATGAGTTCGATCTTGCAGGTAATTATATTCCTATTTAAATATTAGGTTTGTGTAAACCCATTCCTTAAAAGAAAGCTTATACATATTTAATAAGAATCTTCTTATATGAAAATAGGTTTCCAGAACAGCCGAGTCGATCTAGCCATGTCCGTCTGTTCTTCTGTCCGTCTGTTCTACAGGCCGTCTGTCCGTTTCTACGCAAACTAGTCTCTCCGTTTTAAAGCAATCTAAATGAAACTTTGTAGTTAGCCTTCTATATACTCTCACTCGTATATATGTCGGAACGGGCTGGATCGGACGACTATATCATATAGCTGCCATTGGAATGATCGAAAAATTTTTACAAAAAAAATTTTAACTTTTTCAGTTTTCAATAGAATTGGCTCAAATTTGAGATATAGCCATTTTTCTATACTCTACAATTTTGCATAAAATTTTATGAAAATCCTGAGTACTATATCATATAGCTCCCATAGTAACGAACGAGAAATTAATACAATTAAATTTATAACTTTTTCAGTTTTCAGCTGATTTTTATCAAATTTGAGGTATAGCCATTTAATATAAGTCTTAAATTTTGTGTCAAATTTCATGAAAATCAGACGACTGTATCATATAGGTGCCATACAAACGATCGTTTGATGTGGAGGAAAAATGCAAATCAGTGAATGTAAAATTGCAAATATAATATGTATAAGTGAATGAAATGAAAGCAGGTATTACTTCATTGTTTTTAACACAAATATATATAATTTATATTGTATGGATTCCTATTCATAGAAGTTCAATCTGCAAGGGTATATAAACTTCGGCGTGCCGAAGTTAGCTTCCTTTCTTGTTTTACATAAAATAAACGTATATTAAGGAATTTCTAATAGATCTGGACCAAAAACTCTTAATTTCATATCATTTCGGAGCTTTACATGTCCAGAGATAAGCAGATTTTGTCCCAGATGTTAAGCATTAAAGTTTGGTACTAACATATGAAAAATACGCTAGAAGAAAGTAGGTATCGAAATCGCTATATCTATATATTTAACTCGGTGATCAAAGAAATTTAAGAAAAGGCTTGAAAATGGTCACAATGGCAGCTGACGCCAGCTGTTTCTCGTAAACAAAATTTATAAAGTGAAATTAATATGAATTCGAACGGATTGGATATTGGAATACTATTTAAAAATGTATTCGCTGATATATAGCTAAAATCAAATAAAAGATTTTTTAAATTTTAAATGCCTTTTCTAAATTAAATCTCATAATAATGGCCTTGTCCGTGCTGGCTTCAAAAATATATATAATTCATTATTTCGCTTGCTAAATCTCAACTGTTTTATTTTATAATCCAGCAACGCTTTACATTTTTCGCTACCAACATTTATGTTCTGTTTGTACCCGCTCGAGCGAAAGATAAGAAAAATGTTCTGCTTCATCTCTTAGCTACCTTTTTTAATGTGAAGTTTTGCCGCATGAAGAATATTTATCTTATGTTAGTACCAAGCTTAAAGCTACAATTAAGTTGCGCGCTGCGGTTATCACTAAACTGCTTGCATGTATTTTTTCGTTTTTTTTACCCTGAGTTGGTTCAGTGTACATCCTTGTGTTTCCAGAGTCGCAGCTTAATACACTTTCTCAAAACTCATTCTAGTTCAGCAAAAGAAAGACATGAAGTATAGACATAGTGTAGATGACGGCTTTTGGCAGATTTACAAGTTATAGACTAGTCTTTGAAGATTATAGATTAAAATAATGAACACCTGTTAGGTAGAAATTTACCTCTACAATCCCAAACCAAACTGTCGTTTTTTTGTTTGGCTTACAGTTTATTAATGTATCAATCATTTAAAGCATACATGGGCACGAAAAATAACGGAATTAGCCAGGCAACAAATTTTAAAAACAACCACCAGCATCCCAGCACGAATGACTTACAAGTTTTTATTTTTTGTCTCGTTTTTTTGTGGTCTTGAGCAATCACACAGCTTTACGAATGACTTGCTGATTTTCAAAAAATAAACATGTATTTTGTTTTTATGTAGCTTTGAGCTGAGGCCTCTGCCTCAGGCAGTGTGATATTACAAAACATAACGGAATGAGCCGCCCGAGCTCTGGGAGCCAAGGCATGCTCACGTATGATTGAAAATAAATACCATGACGATAGGAAATAAGTTTTTTGTGTTATATGATCTGTACACTTTTACACTTTTTTTCTGTATGTTGCTAAAAACGAAACAAATTTCAACTTGGAATACTCATGGATTGAAACGATTTTGCGACAATGACTTATTTGATTTTTGCAAAGCTGTTTCTCCTAAAGGCGCCACAGTGCGCCAATTGCAATTACAACACTAATAATTAATACAATATAATTTATATATAATATATACTTATGTTCAAAAACAACAAAGGAAGCTTAGTTCGGCACACCTAAGTTTTGTATGTCCTAGCATATTGCCATTAGATAATTATTAAATAAAACAATATAAACAAAATATATATATTTTTGTTAAAAAGTCGAAGAAGTAATGGTTACTCTTATTATATTTACCTATACGTTTTGTTTTTATAGCTTTAGAGTTATTGTTTTACATTCACAGTTTTTCCTCTCCATTTAACGATCGTTTAATGGCAGCTATAAGACACAGTCGTTCGAATTTTATAAAAATAAATCCTTAATTGTTAAATATATAAAAAGACACAACTCAAAATAGATGCAAATATTTCTAAAAGCATCAAAGTTATAATTTTTTGTTTGTATTAATTTCTTGGTTTTTTAAATGTAAGATATATGGTATAATAATCAGACTTTTATAAATTTAAAACTGAAATTCTAGAATATTGCAAAAAGTTTTCCGATTGCTATACGATATAGTCGTCCGATCTGGCCCGTTCCGTCTTATATACGTGTGAAGTATATAGAATACTAACTACAGAGTTTTAATCAGATAGATTTAAAACCTTAAGGTCTAGTTTACATTGGCTATCAAAAAGCTGATCACTACAATTATAAAACCCTACAAGGGTATATAATAATAATTCCCGATCTCTCTTTACCCTATAAAATTTGATAAATCAAGCTTACCATTTCAATTTTTTAACTTTAAATCTTCGACAAATATGAAACTTGTAAATAAATTTGATATGATATAAAAAACAAGTAACAATTTTAACATGTTTTTACCTAAGGGTTACTATGATCGAATGAAATCCGAGGAGTTTACCCATCTCACGCCCTCAAGTCTACAGGGAAAAGAAGATATATTGTTTGGCAATCTACATGAGCTCTTTACTTTCCACAATCAAATTTTTCTTAAAGATCTCGAAAACTGTATTTCGACTACTGAGCTCGTCGCACTTTGTTTTGTTCAAAGGGTAAATATTTACATATACACACATGTTTACCTGTAAATATTAAAATAAAATTTTTTTAGCGTGACACATTCTATCGCTTATACTCATTCTATTGTCAAAACATCCCACGTTCTGAGCGGTTCCGTGAAACGCTTGTAGATACACACTTTTTTTTTCAAGAGTGTCAAAAAAGACTTGGTCATAAGCTACCGCTAGCTGCGTATTTACTAAAACCAGTTCAAAGGATTACAAAATACCAGTTGCTTTTGAAGGACTTGCTTCGCTTTAGCGATAGTGGGAACTGCACCAAGGAGCTTCAAAGGGCGCTTGACTGTATGTTAATCGTTTTAAAATGTGTCAACGACTCAATGCATCAAGTAGCGATAACAGGATTTCCGGTAGAAAGATACTTTAATTAAATAGTGTGGGATAAAACTATAAAACAATTGATACTTTTCAGGCTGATATAGCTGAGCAGGGTGAACTTTTGATGCAGGACTCATTCCAAGTCTGGTCAGAATCTAAAAAGGATATTCGCCTCCGGATTAAACCACAACAACGACATATATTTCTGTATCAGAAATCTATTCTATTTTGTAAGCTAACATCAAAACCAGGTCCCAACAAAAGCACATACCAATTTAAACATCATTTTAAGGTAATATACACTAATTGCATAAAAATGTATACTTTAGACCTAATTTTCGACAGATGTCACTTATTGGGCTAACAGAGACTGTACCAAGTGATACAAAACGTTTCGAAATTTGGACTCAAGGGCGCCAGGAAGTACATATCCTACAAGCACCGACACAGGACGTAAAAAAACAATGGGTTGCAGAAATTAAACGTGTCTTACTCAACCAGCTGGAGGAGCTTAAAGGCGAGAAAATAAAGCAATACAGCTTAAATCACCAGGGTCTTAGGCAGACCATTTCTTCGGACACCACAAATACTATTCTAGACGCCCAAAACTGCGTTTTAAAATCTGAGACTTCTGCAGATACTACCAAAAGAAATTCAAACTGCAGTAGCAATGGTGTCGAGCCTGTTACCTCTAGTCATAGCGTTCATGATCTCACAAATAAAGATCAGCAGGAAAATTGTGGCTGGAGCTCTGACTGCTCAAATAGCGAAGATGATTTTTCTTTTACCGAAGAAAATAAGAGCCCTGTAAGTATGATAAACTATAGTATACCCTAAATTGAAATTTATCCCAAACAAATAGGAATCAAGCATTCTTATACCATTTGCATGGTGTTATAATTTCAGTCAAAAGTTTGCAACACAGTGAAAAAGTCATTTCCTATCAAATAATGTATATATTTTCCTGATCAGCATCGCCAAGTCGATACAGCCATGTTCATCTGGCCGTTAGTTTCTACTTAGTTTTAAAGCTATCTGAATGAAACTTTTCAGATAGTCTTCTGTATAGTCTCACTAGTATATAGGTCTAAACGGAAAAGATCGAAAATTTTTTAGGGAAAAATTATATTTTTTCCAGTTCTCAACAGATTTTTTTTAGATATGTCTATTTTGTTTTGTTCTAGAATTTCGTTTAAAATTTAATGAAAATTGCACTACAATGTTTTATCTTAAAGCTGCCATAGAAATTATCGTTGAATGTGAATGAAAATGCCAAACTGTACTTCTAAATACTTAAAAAAAAAAAAATAATGCAGTACTGCATTACTAAGAGCTTTCATTACAGATTTTAAAAATGGTATACAATACGAAGCGCTTTTTGCTGTTTTTCAACAATTGATTTTTAAAACTAAACTGCGCTAAAGCTCTTAAAGCGATCTTACTAGGCTTAAATTGACTAATCATTTCAATGTCAGCTATAGGTAGGGCGGATACAGACTTTTTGAGGCAAGGCGGTCAAATTAAAAATATCGCCCCCGTCGCACAGTAGCGCCATTTCTCATTTTATCTTGCAAAAATCAAAATTACGGACCCAAATAAGATAATTTAATAATTTTAACGGCTTTTGACAGATAATTGTTGTAAGATAATTCTTTAATAAAAAAATTAAATTAATAATTTTATTTTTAATTTCGATTATATTTATTTTATTTTCATTTTTTAATAATTTTGACTTCTTTTCTAAAAATAAACCTATATTAAGGGAATTGCTAGTAGATCAAGCATTTCTGGACTATAATCACATGGTAAAGGTATGTTTTGTCATTCAATACAAACAACATTAGCAGTTTGAAGATATTAACGCTGCAAATAAGTTGGACGCTACGGTTATCACTGAACCTGCTTTTTTTCAGTTTGTTTTCCCTGATTTGGTTCAGTGTACATCCTTATGTTTCCAGAGTCGCAGCTCATCACACTCTATCAAACGTGATTTTAATTCAGAAGAGATGAGTATGTAATCTTCTCTCGTTGAGATCGGTTGTGTCGCGGACAATTCGTATTGATCTATTCCTTAACGTGTGTAAGAGAGATTAAGCGATAATTTTCGGACGCTGTATTGCACAGTGTCGGCAGCTGGACAATAACAAAAAGTAAAAAACAGTTTGATAAGACTGCATACCGGCCCATTTGGGCAAAGCATCTCCCCTCACCCTGCGCTCAGCCGCACAGAAGGGAGACAAAGCTTTGTGTTATCAGTTGTTTTGATTGGACCTACTTTTGCATCTGCAGAAAATGTGCATAATAGATTGCTTAAACCACCAATTTAGCAATTTAGTTTTATAGCTGCAATGGATGAAAACATTTTTTCTGACTCTCAGCTTAGCAATAAGCAGATTGATTATAAAGAAATGCTTCGAGTAGCGGGTAAAACTCAGTCGGAAACCAGAGCAGAGCTTCTAAGCTCTCAATACAACTATAACAACAACAATCACTTTCACTAGAGCCACTATAAGCTCCATAGTTACTACAGCAACTGCAACAACTAGCAGTGCTCGTCATGGTGCAAGTATTGTATCACCTATCACCTCAACTCCAATTTTAAGTGGAGCTGCGACCTATGCGTCTCCAACACTATGTGGAGCTGCTTCGAGATTAATAGATGCTTCAATTAAATAAACGAAAGAAACCGATCTCTCCGAACATGAGCCCCAAAAGGGAAAATATAGACAGACTAAACTCGTCAGTAACTAACAATGTGGTTAATACTAACCGTTTTGCCATACTAGATATGGAGTGCGATGAAGAGAGTGTTAACAATATTAAAGTGAACACAGGTGAACCAGATGATGTTCCTATCGCCTCTTCAATATAGACGAGCCCACAGCAGATTGACAACAGTCAACTGCATCCCACACCTAAACCACCGCAAATTGTAATCAGCATCACCAACCTCAACGATTTGTTTGAAATCACTAGCGAGGCGACGAGTTTGGATAACGTGGTTGTCAAAGTTAATCAAAGGGTAACATCCCGCATTTTCCCAAAGAATAGCAACGCTTACAGAGCCATAGTAAATCACTTCGATAATATTGGAATTCAATTTCATACTTATCAATTAAAAGAAGAGAAGCCTCACAAAATTGTAGTTAAGGGACTTCATCATAGCACCACACACGGACAAACTGTTGAAATCTTAAAAAACCTCGGTTTTGAAGCTGTGCAGGTTCATAACCTGAGATCAAAAGTAAATAAATACAAAATCTAAACATATTTTGCCGACATTTGCTTTGCCGACAAATAGTATCTGTTGAAAGGATAAGAGAAAGATCTGAAATGGCGCACTTTACTCGTTGCCAGGAATATGGCAACACAGCGAAATACTGCCGCCTGGGGTGTTCGTCCCCAGGATCAACAACCTACTTGTTTACACTGTGGAGGCAGCCATATGGCCAGCTACAGGGGCTGCCAGTGGTACCAGGAATATCTAAAGAAATTAATGGGGTTCTCTAGGAAACAACAACCCCGTGCGATACCATCAACGCAAATTGGGGTTAGGTCAACAGGTACAACAGCAAAAGCAACAGCAACAACCCCCTCAAACCAGCATTCCGGGAATTTACACTGCTGGCTTGTCTTATGCATCTGTTGCAAGAATTAGCTATGCTCCTGCCGAGCGCCGATTTCATGGCCTCCAGACTCAACTACAGTCTTACAACTCCAATGGAAATAGAACGCAGCAGCAGCTCCCAGTTGACGTTCAAACTCTAATTAAACAACAAAATCATCAATTCTTGGAATGACAGCAACAACAACAACTACAGCAGCAACTACTACGGTTTCTGCAACAGCAGCAATATGACCAGCATAAACTGACCGAGCAAAATAGTCAAAGAGTAGACCGGCTTAAAGGTATGGTTTATGAATTAATAAAAACAATTAAGCAAAGGAATGGGGATTCCTCGAACCCCCACATCCCGAACAACGCCTCAAATACACAATGAGTACACATACGATATTAATTTGGAATGTCAATGGCATTGCAGGGAAAGCTAAAGAAATTGAGCTCTTTGCGCACAACAATAACGTTGATATTATCCTTCTGAGTGAAATACGGCTAAACAGGGGAACCACCATCAAAGTACACGGCCATGTCATTTACCCAGCTTTTAAACCATCTCACAAAAACATTTTCCACAATAAGTCATTGAGACATTAACTATTCAAATGTCTTCAATTAAGGTAGTCACCGGGCTCGGTGATATGGAGGTTAGTGCCATCTACTGTCCTCCTGGAAATAGACTACTCGAGGGAGATTTTACAGACATCTTCAGCAATTGCGGCCACAGATACCTGATTAGAGGCGATTGGAATGCGCGTCACTGGTTGTGGGGTGACACCTACAACTCGACAAGAGGGAGAGAATTAGTTGACGCCATATCTGTCTGTGGTAACAAAATACTCGCAACAGGATCGCCCACTAGGTATCCATATGTATCCAGTCACGCGCCGTCCTGCATAGACTTCGCTGTGCACCACGGTATACCGGACCATCGAAGCAGAATAAGCCACTGTTGGGATCTGGACTCGGACCACCTTTCTCTGGTAGCCACAATAATAACAGAAGTAGTAGTCAATTACTCCAGCCCTAGTCTTGTTACTAAATACACAAACTTGGCCGTCTTCAAACCGTATCTAGACACGGCATTCCACCTTAATGAATCTCCGAACACAGGGGAAGATATAGAAGCTGCTTTAGACAAACTCACCACCAAAGTTTACACGGCAGCTGCTGCGGCAACGCCTCCATGCCCTCCGACAGCCCAGAATAACTATGGCATCGTGCTCACAGGAGAAGCCAGAGAGCTTCTCAAAATCAAAAGGCGCCTTCGTAGACGACCAATTCCGTGGAACAGAGAAGCGAAACAACTCCGCGAAGTCCTGAAGGATCTTCGAAGTGATTTTTTCGAACAAAAGTTGGCAATCATGGATTACACCATGGATGCAAATTATTCGCTATAGAAGTGTACAAAATCACTTAAAAGACAGCCATTCAGACAAGTTCCAATCAGGTGCGCAGGCGGAGAACTGGCAAAAAATGAGGAGGAACAAGCTAACGCGTTCGCTCAGCACCTGGAGGATCGTTTCACTCCGCATGAGTTTGCTTCACTCCAGCATGTAAGCGAGACTCGGAACACTCTGCTAAAACACAACAGGAGATTTCCATGCCTATCCTATGTCGCTAACGGATTGCAAGGCTGTCTTGTCACTCTGGCAGATTGGTGTAGGAGATGGAATCTGAAGATAAACCCACTAAAAACCGTCAACCCATGCTACCAATGCCAATGCTAAGATCGACCACGCCCCCTATTCAGCTGGAAGGAGTTACCTTAGAGCAGCCGAATGTAGCCAAGTACCTGGGTATCACACTCGACAAACGCCTTACTTTTGGTCCACACCTCATAGCCACGAAGAAAAAGTGTGGCCAATGAGCAAAAGGAGCACCAAGTCACTTAGTTCTAAGAGGGCTGTGTATGTCCATTGCATAGCCCCAATGTGGTTATACGGCATACAAATATAAGGGATTGCGGCTAAATCTAACCATAAACGCATCCAAACTCTGCAAAACCGGGCACTTGGGCAAATAAGAGGCTGAGCAAGACCTGCCCGTCCACTAACACCATGACACGTCAGTGAAGTAGTCCTTAACTGTTGTATTCCTTGTACGATGATACAGAGTTTGGCCTTCATTATAAAATTCATTCATGTGTTGTCAATGTATATTTTGTTGTACTGCTTCTACACTTATTATTAAATAAAATTAAAACAAGAAAGGAAGCTAACTTCGGTAGGCCGAAGTTTATATACCCTTGCAGATAGAACTTCTATGACTTGGAATCCCAACAATATAAATTATATTTATTTGTATTAAAAAACAATGAAGTAATACCTGCTTTCATTTCATTCACCTTTACATATTATATTTGCAGTTTTACAGTCACAGATTTGCATTTTTCCTCTACGTCAAACGATCGTTTGTATGGCACCTATATGATATAGTCGTCCGATTTTCATAAAATTTTACACAAAATTGTAGAATAATATAAAATGGTTATACCTAAAATTTGATGAAAATCAGCTGAAAACTGAAAAAGTTATAAATTTAATTGTATTAATTTCTCGATCGTTCCTATGGGAGCTATATGATATAGTAGTAGTAGTAATTTAGTGCAAAATTTTAGAGTATAGTAAATTGGCTATATCTCAAATTTGATCCAATTCTATTGAAAACTGAAATTGTTATAATTTTTTTTTTAAAAATTATCGGATCATTCCTATGGCAGCTATATGATATAGTCGTCCGATCCGGCCCGTTCCGACATATATACGAGTGAGAGTATATAGAAGGCTAACTGCAAAGTTTCATTCAAATAGCTTCAAAACTGAGAGACTAGTTTGCGTAGAAACGGACAGACGGACTGACGGACAGACGGACATGGCTAGATCGACTCGGCTGTTGATCCTGATCAAGAATATATATACTTTATATGGTCGGAGGTGCCTCCTTCACTGCGTTGCAAACTTCTGACTGAAATTATAATACCCTGCAAGGGTATAAAAAAAAGTTCAGGAAACATAGACAGTGTAAATGACGGCTTTTGGCAGCTTCAGAATTTATAGACTTCTTTAGCCAGAAATTTACCTGTACAAACCCAAACCAAACCGTCGTTTTTTAGCTCGACTTACAGTTTATGATTGTATTATTCATTTAAAGTAAAAACCATGACGAAAAATACAATTTTTTTTGTATGTTGCAAAAACCGACAAAAATTATTTTAATTATAGATTTGGAATTCTTGTGAAATTTTTTGTCGGAAAGGTATGGTTAGAAACGATTTTTGCGGCTATTACTTTTTTGATATTTCAACGGTAATGCGCTACTGTGCTCTAAATGCGCTACTGTGCTCCGTGAGTCTTTTATTTTGTATGCTACATGATAGAAGTTCTGCAAATACCACGCACTTAGTATATACATATGTACATATGTATATAATATTAGATCTATATTTTTACTGATCCCAATTTTAGTCACAATTTTGTAACATAAGAACGAAACTATTTGAAGCCTATTAGGTGTATATGTATATTTAAGATTAGCATCAACCGCCGAATTTATTTACCAATATACATACATCAGTCTGCAGTCATGAAAATATAAAAATATTTTGGTTAACGTACATAAATTTGATATTGTAATTTTATACGCTTGCAGGGTTTTATAATTTTAGTTTGAAGTTTGCAACGTAGTGATTATCATTAGTAATTAATCAACGATTCATCAACAGTCAAGGCGGTGTTTTTGACGATTCATCGATTAATGACCATACAAATTACTGATGAATTTAACATGGGCATGTCCTAGGCTGTAATCAACAACAATTCATCAACAATTAATCAATGAATCATCAACAAATTCATCAACATTCATCAACAATTCATCGATGAATCATCAACAATTCATCAAAAGTTCATCAACAATTAATAAATAATTCATAAACATTCATCAACAATTCATTAACAACAAATAATCAACATATTCATCTGTTGGTACTGTTGACAACTGCCGTCGTAACTGTATCGTGGGCAGAGCGTTGACTCGGTAGAAGTCGCAGTCGGCAGAGCGCCGGCTCGGTAGAAGTCGCAGTCGGCGCGTTGATGTCTGTTAATGACTGTCAACTGTCAGCAACGCGCCGACTGCGACTTCTATAGAGTCAACGTTCGATGAATTGTTGATAAAACATCGATGAATTGTTTATGAATCATCGATGAATTGATGATGAATTGTTGATGAATTTGTTGAAGCATTGTTGATGAATCATCGATTAATTATTGATGACAGCCTAGGAAATGCCCATGTTAAATTCAAAACAGTTTGTATGGTAACCCTTTGACTTTTGATGAAACGTTGATGAATTACTGATGACAGGTACTGCAGGGATGTGGTACTGCAGGGTATAATATGTATGTATATGTATGTACATGTATATGTAACTGTTAATTCCCGGCAGTACCGCGTGTCATCAATAGGCCTCTGTCATCAACATGTCATCAACGCGCCGACTGCGACTTCTACCGAATCGACCCTCTGCCGACTGCGACTTCTACAACGACGCTCTGCATTAACAAAACATCGATGAATTGATCATGAATTGTAGATGATTTTTTTAATGAATCATCGATTTATTGTTGATGAATTTTTATTGATGACAGCGTAAGACGTGCCCATGTTAAATAAATCAGCAGTTTATATGGGCTGTCATCGATGAAAAATCAACAGCACCCCCTTGACTGTTGATGAAACGTTGATTTTTTATTGATGACAGGTACTGCAGGGTTTATATAGAAATGACATATGTATGCTTAAACCAAAAGTTGCCAATTTTGCTAAAATAAATATATAATTTTTTCGTGAATAAAAATCGAAGAACTCCTCCGTCATATGTTTGAGTTCTGATAAACACCTATTCGAAGTCACGTTATATATTTTAATATTATTATTATATAAATATTTTGAAAGATCAAAATATTACAAGACTTGTCTGGCGCTAACTTCAAGTTGGTATAACTTTGGATAAGAGCTGATTTTTTAAATAGTTAGAAATAGTTAGACACTTAAAACAATCTTAGAAAACAAAAGCTTACGACATAAACTAAGTGAATATCCTTTGTTTAAAAAAAGTGCATGCACAAAAACTAAGAGACCATAATTGTTAGTAAGTTCCCTGCAGTACCTGTCATCAGTAATTTATCAACATCATCAATTCATCTATGATTCAACAGTTCATCGATGTTTCATCAACAAATTTCTCAACGGCCGGGCCATGGTACTACCATCTAGAGTACCGAAGTAACTGTATCTTGAGCAGAGCGTCGTAGTAGAAGTCGCAGTCGGAAGAGCGTCGACTCGGTAGAAGTCGCAGTCCGCAGACCGTCGCCTCGGAAGAAGTCGCAGTCAACGCGTTGATGACAGTCGATTGATGACATGCGGTACTGCAGGGTTCAAACAAAAAACATGTTACTACGATAAGATAAATGCGCTTGAAGAATGTTGGCAACGAAATGGCTATATATGTACATGTATTACTCTCGGCAACCGGTGTGTCAAAGAAAATTGAAGAAAGGGTGCGAAAATGGTCACACTAACAGCTGAAGCCAGCGTTTTTTTAAAACAAACTTTATAAAGTGAAATGAAAATGAATTCGAATGGATTGCATATTGAAATACTATTTAAAAATGTAAAAACCCACAGCACCACACATAATTTTTGCGCTTTAAATGCCTTTTGTGAATTCAATTTCAAATTATGGGCCTTGCCATTACGGATAGAAAATCGTTACATCTTGGCTTTAAAAATGTATACGATTCATTATTTCGCTCGCTAAATCACAGTTGCTTAGTTTTTTCATACAGGAACGCTTTACATTTTTCGCTCGGAACATTTATCTTATGTTAGTACCCGCCCGGACATAACCTAAGAAAACTTTTCTATTCGCTACCTTTTTTCTTATATAAAGTTTGATCGCATGAAGAATATCTATCTAATGTTAGCACCTGGTTTAAGACAGGACGTACATATGTCAACTGATAAATAAGAGGTGATTTTATACTGTCAAAAATTAATTTATAATATATTATGGGAAACGCCTTTCTCTTCTTGTCCCATAGAGCCTATGGTTTTTTCAAAATACACAACAAGTTCCAAGGCTCAGTTGGCATATTAATATTAAATTAATATTATTCATTTCTGGCAGTTTGATCAATGTATTATTATTTATTTTTTAGTTTTTTTTTTTAACATGAAACTTAATTCGTAAATTATAAATATATCACGTATACATGTATGTGTAATTAACAATATCATTTTTTATTCTTTTGTAAACAGGGCAGTAAATTTATAGCCCTTGCAGATTATACAGCTATGGGAAACTCGGAAGTCTCGTTGCATGAAGGTGATACTATTGAACTACTGAAAGTGGGCTGTGCTGGATGGTGGTATGTTCGAGTCCTAGGTAAATGAATGGCATTCAACCAAGTTATATATAATTGTTTTTATTTCATTTTATATTTTTGACGAATTTATTAATATATGTAATATTTTTAATGTTTTACAGATACATGTGCTGAAGGTTGGGCTCCAGGAGCATATACACAATCAATCAACCGAAAATCGTCACAGTAATTGAATCTTAATTAGAAAAGAATACATTAAAAAGAATGAAATATGTTACGTCATTTTAGTCACCAGATAAAATTGTAAAAATTAATATTTATTTATTATTTAATTCAATATATTTAAAAAAATTTTCTGCAAAAATGTATATAATTGTAATTTTTCGAATTAAAATATAATGCTTTATTTTTAATCTTAATATATGATATAGAAAGCTAACTTCGAAAATCAAAGGCTTATATACCATGAAAGCTATAAATATAAAACTCTGAAACTGTTTTTCGAGTTGAAATTGAAATCAGACGACTACCAGGCAGAGCGGCGGGTGAAAGTTTCTTTGAGTTAATACGAGAAGAAACACTTTTTAAAGTACAGTCAGAATAAATAACTCCTCACCTATTTTTGTTTTGCTAATTATTTTCTGTTTGGAATTATCCATGTGGCAACGTTCTTAATTGCTGTATAACGTCGACGTAGTGAAGTATTCCTAGTTTCCCATATCGACGCTGGTTAAGACTCCTCCCAGAGCCTTTGCCTGAGTTCGACTCGACATTAAGGGTTATCTTGCTTGACGCTGTTGTGTCTTGGGAAGCGCTCAGAGATGTGAAGCTCGATTCCAGAAACATGGTCGACGAAGGTGCTACTGGTTGAGTTTTTTAATTCTAAGAACATAATTCACATTTAAGGCTATGCTGAATGGCTAACATAATCTACTAACTTATATATATACTAGCCGACCCGGTAAACGTTTTTTTTTGTTTTGCAATATAAATTAGGTATCGATGCGAAGGCTTCCTGTGAGTTATCTTTTTCCGAAAAACTGACTTTCAAGTGGCTATTCGCTTCATTTTGCCACCCTTTGAACTATCGGACTTGGTGACGCAGACTTTGAGCCACTATCTGCTAGGGCGGCGCTGTCACTTAGTCGTCACTGTATCCAGATTCGTAAAGGCGTATCTGGACCAGTCTTCTTTTGTCGAAGTTCCACAATAAAGATTGCATCGGTCCGTCGATGTTAAATCGTCCGTCGCAAGCTACTGAACTGAACCAAAGCACATTAAGCTGGCTTTTAGCTGGGTCAGGAAAAATTCTAAATTGCCAAGTATGCGAAGGATGCTATAATCAACGAGGAATATAAAATACTGTGAAAAGATTACAAGGAGAATATACGCAAAGCACAAAGAAGCTGTTGGAGAAACTTCTGCCCCAACATAGAGAAGGCCCCAGAAACGGCTATACTGCGGAAGTTTCTTTCAAAGCAACCCACCATACTGAGTTAGCTCAAGCGTGATCACGGACAGTGGACTGAGGGCTATAGAAGAATCTACTGGGCTATAGCCTCCTTCGCTGGATAAAAGCCATGCTGCAGGCTTCCAAAGAAGCCTCACCTCATTATTACCCAAGACTCAAGACTTTTACTCAAGATAAAATTTAGTGGTCGACGACCAAATCGAAAGGTCAGCCTATGCTGATGATATGAGCATAATTAGTCTGTCCATCGACCCTTAGCTCGATTATGGAATCAAAACTAGTGGAGATATGTGAGTGGACGGACAATGTAGGACTTCATATCAACGCAGACAAGACGGACCTCAATATCTTCACTAAGAGATACAAGGTACCGCCATGGATCCCCCCAAAAATCAATACAACCAGGCTGACCCCGAAAACACATATCAAATACCGCGGCTGTATACTAGACAGCAAGCTGGCATGAAATCCAATGTAGTAGAGAGGGTGAAAAAGACCACCATTGCGCTATTAGCATCTAAGAAGATGCTTAACAGTACATGGAGTCTGTCGCACGCTCCGATGCACTGGATCTATATATCGGTGGTGCGTCCGACACTGCTGTACGGAGTCTTAGTGTGGTGGCAAGCCATGGAAAAAAAGACATACATAAAAGCTTATGGAGAGATTCTAGCGGCAGGCACTTCTCTGCATATCAGGGGCGCTGAGGTCAACCCCCACAAAAGCACTAGACGAATAATCGGAATCGATCCCCTCTATATCCACTCGGCACTAACTGCAGAAAAGGATGTACAACGCCTACAGGAATTTGGGCAAAGTTCAATTGATCGAAACATGAGCAGCCTATCTGACTACATGACACCTATAACTTTCCCGGATGTTAAAACAACAAAATTTATGGGACCTGAAGACTGGAAAACGGCTCAAGACCATGTTCAACACCTCAACATATACACAGACGGCTGTCGTATAAGCTATCAAGCCAATTCAGCAAATTCCAGGCGGAAATCTTCGCCATCAGGGAGACGGCAGAGCTTACGCAGAGTAAACCTGTCAAGGGGCTTGCTGAATGTACAGAAATGTGGACACCGTATACTTATTCCTTTGGAATACATCCAGGACATACTTACCCACTCTGTCCCGCTGTCGAGGAGTCCCATGTTTTCGACAAAATCCGAACTGATTGGGTTACGGATTGACACTCGAAATTTTGGAGAGATTAAAAGACTATCCTTCAAGCTTCTCTCAAATATCTAGCTAAATGATGGAAGTGGACTGATCGGACGATAACTTTTCACATTCACGTAGGCTTCCCCGCTTTTATGTAGCACTAAATGTTTGCATTTTTTAATTAAGAGGGTAGAGCAGTGTCCTAGCTTTTATCCCTCTCTCTCAGTTTAAAGAGCTTCCTAAACACGTGCCAAATTATGTTTAAGTTTTATGTAATCAATTATATTTTACCTACATCACAATAAACATCAGACGCACCACAAAAAGTTTCCCGTATTTTAATTGTAGTAGGGACAAAGTAGTAGTGGAGAACGAGGTGTCCCTCTACACCGATGGCTCAAAAATGAGCTGCGGCGTAGGGGCTGGGATCTTCGCTGAAAATTGGAGAATTGAAAAGACTTTCAATCTCTCTAACTCAGCGACGGTCTTTCAGGCTGAGTTACTAGCCGTAAGGGAAGCAGTCGAACTTTCCTTAAGGCAGGACCTCAGGACCTAACATGGGTACCGGGACACAACGAGATCCCAGGAAATGAGAAGGCAGACGAACTTACCCGTGCAGGCTCGGCAGGACCAAGTTCTGACTTCGAATTACCGATCTCCCTAAACGCGATCCAGACAAGGATCCATGACCTCTTTAAGCAGATAGCTAAGAAAAAATGGCAAAGCAAGAGCGATCACAGAAGGTCAAGGGAATGATGGCCGAGGTACGACAAGAAACGAACCAGTGAACTGCTATCCAACAGCAAGCGGGATATTAGCAGGTTTACGGCACTAGAAGCTGTAAGCAACCTACAGAGCAAGAGACACCGGAACATCTGCTCTGCTTCTGCCCAGCGCTAAACCACATCAGATTTCACCACTTTGGTGCCTACCAGATGGAGTCACTGGGAAGTATAGGAAAGCTAAAAGTTTCAGCAATCCTAGGTTTCCTTACTGACTCTCGGTGGTACTGATAGTGAACAAGAACGACAAACAGAGGGAGTGGAACAAAAGGAGCAAAAAGGAGGCCCCAGCAATGGGCCTCACCACTGTAACATACCTACTTAAATTGTTCGGCTGTTTCAGCAATTAGAGCCACCCCTCTCCATTTCATGGTTCTTCGAGCAGGATAACTCCATCTCTCACAGATGGTGGCTTTAAGGCCGCACAAGAGAGATATATAGTCATACAGTGAGATTTTGCCAATTGCTTCAACTTCTCCAATTCATTTCCGAAATTATTCGAGTTCCAAAATTGTCTTAATAAACAAGCCGCAGAAAAACAATTCTGAAGTTTCAAATTAGTTTCCAATTCCTTTTGTTTAGTGTGTTCCTCTTGCATTTATTTAAATAAATAAAGGGTGGTGAGGGGTTTCCGTGGTTTGTCAACACGTTGTCTTGTCTTCTCCTGTCTGTTTCTGCTCTTAATTCAGCTACGATTATTATCTAATTCCGTCTGGAATTACTGGCAGTTTCCGCTCAAAATCTGGTTCTGAATTCCCTTCTGATTCAGGGGGGAATTCGTGTCGAAATTCACAATCCCGTCGGATTCCCGGATGATTCCTCGGGTAGTCCAAATTTAGGTTTTCTAATTTCAGCATGGGTTGCATCCAAATTCCGGTATGATTCAGGATGGAGGCATCGCCAATCCATCCTTATTCAGACATGAATCCGAGAGGAATGGTACTAAAGGGCTGTGTTCTTACATTTATTTACATGTACATGTGTATGCATACACATATTTACAATACCGCCCTGCAATACCACATGTCATCAATAGGCCACTGTCATCAACAGTCATAAGTCACGCCAACTGCGTCTTCTACCGAAACGTTGCTCTGTCGACTGTGACTTCTGCCGAGTCGTTCACCACAATACAGTTACGACGGTAGTCTTGGCCGCAGTCGTCGGAAGTACCATGGCGCGGCCGTTGATGTTTATGAATTTGCTGATGATTAATCTATGAATTATTGATTAATGTTGAAGAATTTGTTGATGATTCATTGATATGATTGATTAAATTCATCAACAATTTGTATGTCCATTAATAGATGAATAATCAACAACACCTTCACTGTTAATGAATCGTTGATTAATTATTGTTGAATGGTACTGCAGGGCGTCCACTCCACATACAAATACATGTGTACATTCCTTACAAAATATATTTACAAAATGTAGGTAAATACCCTTCAGTACCTAAATTTCGATCGATTTTTTCGCAACTCAAATGACAGCTGCAGTATTCACTAGTGTTTTGACTTGTAATTTATTAAATGTTGTTAAAACGTAAGTGGCTTATTTTTGTTCAATTAAAAAATTCATTTGCAGAATTGCTTTTGATCGGTGAGAACTGGAAGGTCCTTATATTTCTAGAATTTATTTTCTGTTTAATTGGTAAAAAATATTGTTCGAGGGGAGCTCGGCTGTTATTCACTTTGGGCGGTTGCCGCGATCTTTGAACAAGGGCTGCCGAGGAGAGCTCGGTCGTTGTTCACATACGGACGGATGCTACGTTCTTCAAGCAAGGGGTGCTGAGGGGAGCTCGGCCGTAGTTCATACACGGATGGATACAGCGATCTTCGAGCAATGGGTGCCGTGGGGAGCTCG